TAAAGTATCTTCCTGCTCTTTTTTTTTATTTTTCTTTTTAACTTTTCATATCAGAATTCTTAAATTCATTCTCTTGGATTGTATATTTCTTTTTATTCCTCTGGCATCTTTTTTAGCTTGGTTCTTCATTTTCTGAATTGGTTTTCAAAGTGCTTTGTCAGACCATTTAGGATGGGCTTAGTTCTGTTGTTAGACTGACTTTCTCTTTATTTTAAATTATAAATCTGTCAAGAATTATTTTTTTGTATAGTTTGTTTAACAGGCTAGCAATTATTCACTCTTGATCAGTTTTGATTATCTCACATTTTTCATTTATATTTTTTTCTATTTGTTTTCTTTGTACTTGTTCTTACTTTTTTTTTTCTGTTTTTCAAGATTCTTTGCCAATTTTTTATATCATTTAACCAAGCTTCTGACCATTGTTTGTATAGCTTTGGTAATACTACTCCTATTTTTTTGCTAATGTTTATAAGTTTATTGTTTATTTTTTCTTTTTCTTCTTTTTCTGTTACTTGGTTTCTTTTTATTTTTATTTTTTTATTATTTGTTGTAGTTCATTGTGTGCCTGTACTGCTGTAACTTTCTTTGATAATGTCTTCTGTTTGTCTTTGTATTAAATATATTCTTTTTTAATATTCATTTATTTGCTGCTTCTATTATAGCTTCTTTTATTGCATTTCATATATAGTTTAACTCATCTGTACAGTACATATTGCTTATTTTTTTTTTCTAATTGCTTTAGCACTTTTTTCTACTCTAATTGTACTTGAAACTCTTTAGTATATTCTTTCTAATCTTCTTGTTTTGTTTTCTTATATCAGTATATTGTTCTTATTTGGTTTTTATATTTAATTTTTGTGCAGCTGTGATTCATGATTATATGCTCTACCTATATGTTTATTGTTAGTATCTTGTGGTTACTGTCTGTTATGCTTTCTGACTTTTCTAAGTTGGCTTTTTGAAGGCTAGCTGCAAGTGTTTCTAATAATCAGATATAGTTGATTCTTGTTGCTACTTCTTGACTTGACTACATATATGCTTTCTTTGTTAGATACAAGCTTCTAAAAAAGTCTATAAACTTTTGCCTCTTAAGCCAATTAAAAATTAGTAGTTTTTTATATTCTATTGTTTATAGATTCAGTCTGTCTAGTATGTTATTAATAGTGTCATTGGAATTTTCAAATATAATTACTTCTGTATTCTTTCTTCTGTTTGTTACTATTTTTATGATTTTTTGCTATATTTTCTTATTAATTATTTTGTTATTTGATAGAATATATACATCTACTACTATCAGTACTAATTGTTTAAAGTATAACCTTACTTTTATTATATATTCACTAATTTTTTTAACTACTCCAATATGTTTTTTCCAAGTTTTATCTATTAAAATTCCAATATCTAATCCTTTCTTTTTGTCTAATATTGCACTTGCCCAGTAACTTTTAAATCTTGTATTAAGATTATGTAATAGGATTTTCTCTTCTTTTTTTATGTTTGTTTCTGTTATGCCCAGAAATGCTATTTTTTCTTTTTTTGTCTAGCCTAGCAGGTTTTTTAGTTTCCAACCTCTGGTTTTAAGTTTGTTAATGTTGTAACATACAATTTTTATTTCTTTTTTCTCTTTTTTTTTTATTTTTCTTTTAAACTTTTGTATCTTGTCTCTCTGTTTTCTGTTTTCTTTTTCTTTTCTTTTCTTTTTTTAAATTAGAAGATTTGTCTTTATTTTTTTCTTCAAAGGCCCTTTCCTTACTGTGCAGAAAATTTTTAATCTCTTTATCTGTATTTGTGAGTTCAACTAAAGTGCCTTTAGAAGTAATTAGCTAGGCTTTCTCTAGCTATATCTCTTGTTTCTTTTAGTCTTTCTAATCTTTTTCAGATTCACTCTAAGATGTTCTTTATACATGGCTCTTTTTCTTGTCTTTGTGTCTTAACTTTTTTTGTTCTTCTTTTGAAAATTTTTTTTTTTTCTTTCTTGCATTTGTGTCTCTTGCATAATTTCTTCTGTATCAATTTTGGAGTTTGCTTCTTTCTTTTAGTAAAGTATCTTCACAACTTATACTATTTCTGTTTCTATTCTTGTTTAAGTAAACCTTATTTTTTTGTTTTTCTCTGTTGCTTTTATTTTCTTCTGCATTTGAGGTCTGGTTAAATCTGTTCTAACTTCTTCTTTTCTCTACTTTAAAACTTTTTTTTTTTATCTCTTTTTTTCCTTTATTAATCTAATAAACTCTAAAGTTGTTATACAAAATTGGTTTCATTTGAGCTGCATTCATGTCTTTTTCTGTTGCAAACATGACTATTGCTGTTTTTTTTTGGTTTTCATTTCTATTTGGAGAAATGTGAACTGACTTTACATCTTTGCTTCTCAGACATCACAGCAGTAAGACTTCTGAAACATTTTTGGATAGTTTTGTAAGTTTTGCTATATATTTTCTTTGTTTTTCTTTTGCTTCATAGTTTTTTTTTTCTTTGGTTATTTGTACTAGTTTATTATTATTAATTGGTATAGCCTATAAGTATCTTCTTTTTTGACTACTTCTATTTGCACTATTGCAAGTGTTTTGTGCTTTGATCTTTTAATTCTTACTACTTGAATATTTTTAAATTTTCTACAAATATATTCTAACTCTTTTTTGTTGATATCTGTTGGCAAGTTCTATATCATTACATACTTCTTGTTATTAAACTTCTTGTTTGTTTTGTAGTTATTTAAGCCTGTTTCAATCTTGTTTTCTTTCTAGTTGTATATCTTTTCATTATTTTTTACTGTACTTTTTTGTTTTTTTTTGGTATTCTTTATTATGTAATCTTTGTTTCTCTTTTCTGTTTTCTTTTTTCTCTAATATTAATTTATACTAGTCATCTTTCTTTTTACTAATTCTTTGTACTGCTTTGTTTCTATCATATTTATAATCAAAATTTACCTCTATCTACAAGTTACCTTCTTTAAAAACTTTTGTAATAACTTTAACATATTCATTGTTTTTTAGTGACCATTTGATGAATTTTATACATTCTACTTTGTTGTTCCTAATACATTATGTGTTGGTATGTTGACAAGTAAGCTGTTATTTTAGTTGCAGTTTTTCTTGCTTGATGCCTATATGCTTTTCTTAAATAGTGTTTCAACTATGTCAATTTCCTTTTTAATTTCTTAACTTTTTTTTTGACTTGTTATATCTCTTATTTTTAAGTTTTGTTTTATATCTTTCTTCAAACTTATCATAGTTTATTCTTGTTCTTCTAGTTGGTTCTCATGTTTTCTCTCTTGAATAGAAGGCTGTATTTCTATATATCTGTCATCTAAATAACTTATCTTTGTGTTTGCCTTTTTTTGCAATATTTTGATATCTTTCTGTACTTTTCTTTCATTTGGTTCTTCATTAACTGTGTTTTTTCTTTGTGTTGCTTCATATAGGCCTTCTTGTTTTCCTATTATTACAGTCTTTTGTTGTTGCATTTCTTTTTCTTTTGTTACTATTACCTCTTGTATTTGCTTAATTATATCTAGTTTTTTCTTTGACTGTTCTTTTTCAGCCTTTTTTATTATTTCTTTTGTTATTCATAAGAAAGCTACCTTATTTGAGTCTTGCTTAGTGAGCATTGCTACAATTTTATCCTTTCTATTTGGCATTGCATATATGTTGCTAGCTTCATTGAAAAAAATCTTATTATGAACATTGTTTATTGCCCAGTATGCTCTTTTTATACAAATTGCTTTAATATTTCCTTTATATTCTTCAAGCAAACTTTTATTTATTTCTATTTCTATAGTTATACTTTCCTAAAAGTTTTATGTCTGTCTTGTTTTGTTTTCTTGTTTATTGCTATGCATTACTTTATTTATTCTTAATTTGGTCATTTACATGTAATTATTACTACTTAATCTGCTATATAACTTTTGTATACTGTAAACAAATCTACATTTAAAGTCAAGTGGCAATTCTTACAATTATCATTTTATTGCTAAAATTTTTAAAAACTTTGTTTTTTTTTATAACTACACTAATAGCTCTGAGCTGCTTCAGTTTTCTAAACTTGTTTAGTGTATTTTTTTGGTGCTGCTTCTTTTTATTTAGTGCTGTTTGGAGGGTTTTCTATTAATGATTATATGAAAATCTGATTTTTCTTTTTGCTAATTTTGTATTCAAGTAATTGTTAAAAAGAGTTGTGAATTTATTGATGTTTTAAATTTATATTAAATTCTGTTTATAATTTTTTTAATAATTATTAAATTAAATTAAATAAAATTTAATTATATATAGATATATTATAATACTATATTATATTAAAATTTTAGCTGATTTAAATTAGTAAATCTTAAGAAAATACCTATAAACTAAAATAGTTTTTTTTAAAAATATTTTGGTAACTATAACTAGTGGTGAATATCACCGATCATGTGACTATACTAATTTATATATAATTGACAAATAAAAATTTCTATGTGATTTAACAAAACAATGCTATGTTATACCTGCTGATTATAGAAATTTTTATATAGTGCAGTTTTAACACTAAATTAACAAGAGTGTAAAATTTTTTAAACTGGTATTACTAATTTTATAATGCTTGTTGATTCTATTTCATTTATACCAAATGCCTATATAAATGCACAATATTACAAAAATACACCTAACTAATATCTCAGAACAAAAAGTTTAGCATATACTATAAAGTTTAAAAAAAGTAATTATTATGGCTAATGCTAATCATGTTTATTAAAGTAATTAATTATTAGTTTTATTAGTTTTTAACATTAATCAAGCAATAGCATTAGCCATAACAATGCCTAAGTTAGTATCAAAAGCTTAATTTATAATAGGTTAGACTTGATTAGAACAATAGATAATATAGTGCAAGATATAATTAATAAAATTTTCTATCAATCTCATACTCTCAATGCATTGCAATTCAACATATAATTAACTAACCATTTTTATTACAATTTCTAGAGTTATGCCCAGATTCACCACATAGCTAACATACATACTTACATTTAATACTATTATCATTAATAACTTGTATTGTTGTTATTGAAGTGTTTTTATTAATAGTACAAAAAGGAACTCTTGATACAGATGTATTTTCTAATTGTTGTAATGGTTGTATATACAAATTAGAATCAGACAAATTAAGAGCACTATTACTAATTTTGCTATAATCACCTTCTAATGATGCCTTTATTTACTTGTTAGATGGCCATCCATGATGTTTACAAACTAAAGGATCTGCAATATTCATATTTTCTGTTTCTTCAATAAAATTTTTTTGCGTATAATAAAGCCATCTATCATAACAACAAATTCATTAGCATATCCCAAATCAAGTACTATATTAAGAGCTTTTTTTACTTTTCTAAACCCATGTAAATACATCATCTTTTTTTGAATTTGATAATTTTTTTTCATTGCAAGAGTATTCGTTACTCTAAGTTGATTAAAAATATGAAAATCATCAACTATGAATTGGTTATTATTAAATTGTTAAAATTAAGTTACTATTTCTACTAATTCTTCTTGCAAATTCAATTAATTAACCTAATCTTGCATACTTTCCAAATACTATCACTTGGCGATAAGATTGATATTAAACTTTGCAGCTTATAAGCATGTTATAATATAAAAAAAATGTAAATATACAAGTCCATGATTGATAATAGCTAAACAAGTACACAAGTAACTACTATCATTTAGCAAAACAACATAATGTTTGTATTTTTTTATAAGACCAACCAACTTCCAAATCTCTACAATATCACTTAATTGTACACTATTTAACAAATAGCTTAAAGTTGTTTGTGGTCTTTCAAGCTGATCTTCAAGAAATCCTATATCACAATCAATCTTCTCATCATTTAATACAATGTTAATAGAATCTTTAGAAACTAACTTTGAACAATATAATAAAGCATCAAGAATTTGTTGTTGTTGAATCGATTGAATATAAGGTGTAAGATATCTTTTTATTTGTTCAAATACTTTAGAAAAAACTGGCTCTAAGACTGATGGTAAATTATTAGTCAGAAGACTTTGAAGAAAATTGTTATGATAGGCCCATTGGGCTTCATTATCTAATTGCTTCTAAATTTGGTTATGCGATGTACAAAGTAAAGATGTACTATTAGTCCCTTCTTTAATCAACCTATTTATAACCTCGACCCTTTGAGTACTTTGTATTCTAGCTGTAAAAATGTTAATTTGAAAACATTTTGCCTATGCATAATGATTTGGCTAAAGAGTTTGGTTAAGATACTCTTGTAATTGTAGATATCTCTTAATTAATTTTGCTTATCGATAATGAAATTCATTTTCAAAGAAACTATTCCTTATATACAAAAACTCTTTATAATATGCATCATAATCCTTTCCTAATTTACATTGTAATTTTTATTTTTATTTTCTTGTATATGAAATATACAAAGAAAATAATTAGTATTAGGCATATTTGAACCTATTGCATTCATCAAGGCAGAATCAGCATCTGAAAATAAAGATGATGGCTGTTTATTGTAAGTTGCTTCTAGAATACATTCCAAAAACCAATCATAACTTTCAATTGTTTCATCTTCAGATAAACATTGTGCAACTAATCTGCTTTTAGTATTACTGTTCACAACTACATAAAGAGTTAAATATATATTGAACCAATTGGTACGACATGTATTATCTACTTAAATCATGTTGTTGTATCTTAAAAGACATTGTTGTTAGACAGAGGACATCCAAAATAATCCAATTAGCCAATTATCGAATAGATCAAGCCTGGTTTTAATTATTCATCCATCTTCTTTATCTTTCAATTCAAGTAATTAGTTTACCATATTTTGTGCATCATCATGATGATTATTTAAAGATAATCTAAACTTTTTAATAGCATTATAAAGATTCTGTTTTAATAAAATTTGGTCAGGGAATTTAGAGACCAATAAAGGATATATTTGTTTGGCTCCCATATTCCCTTTAGTAACATAAAATTTAATGTCTTCTATTATATTATCAGATAATCTTTGGTATTTAGGTATATACAAATCTACATCATTCAACAAAGGGTGATTGTATTGCCCTGTAATGCTTGTAATGCCAACCTCTGCTGACACTGTTGGTTTGGTAAGATTTATATGCTATAAGCAATTAATTTTACTAGAAGATCATTGATGCTGCTAAGTTGGATCAATAACTTTATTAGGAACTGCAATGCCAGAAAAACTATATTCAAAAGTTCTTTGTCAGACATTTTTTTCAGCATCATATTCAACATGTTTGTGGCGTAAAGAAAATCTACAGCTCTTTGCATATTGATTTAGATGTATCTCTGCAAGCTCCCAAGAAAGAAATGTATCACCAACACTAATTTAGTTGCTAGAAGTTAACGTTTTCAATTAAAATATCATTATGGCTGTCTTGAATCATTTAAATTTCTGTTATTGATTCGTTTTCTATATACATTACATATAATGTTCGTTAAAGAAATCTATTATAATTACATAATCAATTTAAAAACAAAACATATAACCTATCATTCGTATATGTATCCATTATAGACTATAGTAATCTGAAATCTCAGGTATGTTCAAAATAATGCTTTTTTTTACCAGCTCAAATTAATTACTTAATGCAACAAAATAAAATAAAGTTCTTATAGAGTGTATTAACTAATGCTACTTTTAAAGTTAATTATTATGAAGCTAGAATAGTATTTTTGCACAAAGCTTTGGCTAGTGTTTTCCTTTCAAATAAACTATTATAGTATGTATAAAGTTAAATAGTCAAATTCATAGAAATGCTTTGTAAGTATTTACAAGATTAAACTTTACCTCATACAACAGTTATTGTCACTTTACAAAGCTAATTAGAATTGTACTTTTATACCTTCGATGCTAAATATATAAAGTTATACACGTTAACTTTATAAAAATAGAGGTTGGGCTCCATAGCTTAATTGTTAAGCTGCCAACTCCTCACAGATGAGGTCAATGGTTCAAGTCAGACTAGAGGCAAAATTTAAGGATTTTAACTCTGTAACCTAATATATGAGCCAAATTGAATACGAAGCCTTGTGGTAAGTCCCAAGGTGAAGTACAAAGATAGATTAGGAATTTCTGAAAGGAGATCGACTTTGCAGAGAGAAGGCACTACATGTAACAGTGGCATTACAAAAGGTTCTACTACTAAAAAAGTATTGCACAGATAAGTCCTATCGAGATGAGGCAGCACCAACATCTCTGTACCCAACTTGCAGAGACTTGATTGGAAGGGTAATACTAATGTAGTTAAACTGAAGTGGTGAGTAAAGCGGTGCATGCAAAGAAGATCTGTGGCAAAGAATTGGTCTAACCAAAATTGGAACATCTTAAGCAGGTACTATAAACCCTTAAGAAGCAAATCCATAGTCATACATTACAACATCGTTGATGGTTACCATACTTGTACATAATAAGTCAAGGTTCCAGGCCCCTTGCAATATCAAATTGGAAGTACAATAGTATTACAACTATGGGAGTACACAAAAAAAGAGTATGTGGTAGCTGCAGATAATAATCCAAAATCTTGATAAATCCAGCCGTGCTGATTGGTACCAATACATGGAGGCTGTATACACCAAATTGGTAGCAAGAAGAGCAAGAAACCACTGAAGTCAACCAATTTGGAAAAAGGGATGGGTTACTGCAGGAAGTAGATAAGAGGACTATGGTTAGATAGAATTAGGGAATATAGTATTACAAGGTGGCTACAACCTAACCTTAATTAGTAACAATAGTTGAAACACTATAGTACTAGTCTTAATTTAGGAAAGTGTAGATATAATGTCATGTTGGGTGTCTATATAGTAATATAGTAGCACAAATGGAATGTAATAACTCAAATATATTAATCTGGTATTAATTAAATAAAGTATTATGATTGGCATTATAAAAAAAAAAAAAAAAAAAAAAAAAAACTTTATAAAAGTAGTATTTAAAAAGCATGAATATAAGATCTACTAACTATATATAGCTATTCACTTTTCAATTATCATTGTTCTTTAGATTTATATGCTAGTTTACAATGAACCTCCGCTAGTACTTCTCTTTTGGTGCTATTTACAATGAGCTCCTGCTAGTACTTCTTCTTTGGTACTAAATGTAAAGTTATGCATGTTTGAATTTATAAAGAACAAGTTGCATTTAAATACAAAAACATATGACCAATTTACCAACTACAGCTATTCACCCTTTAACTTGGCCCTTTTCAGAGTTGTTATATTCACTTTGTTAATTGTATTTGTCTAACCAAACCTTTTATTCATTTAAATACTTTTACTTTGTACAATCGAAAGGTTATTTGATCTTTATTATACAGTATTTAATATGACTCAACATGACTCATATGATGTGTCATTACACAATTTTTTTATATGATATCTAAGCTACACAGGTGATTATCATTATCAGTTATTAGAACTAAAACTCTTTTTGTAAAATTAATTAATATAACTTAATAATATATTTTTTTAATATAATTTTATATTTAGAATTAAGGATATTTATAACTATAACTGGTGGTGATAATCACTAGTATCACATGATCTATAATTTTGTACTAATAATCCAATTGTGTAACATTTACATTACAGTATTAAGGAGGTCAGAGTAGAATCACATGAATTAACTAATCAAATCATGAATTTTTTTGTTAAATCTAGCAAAGCAAAAAAAATAAAAAAATACAAAAAACAGCTATCTTGATACACTAATAAAAAATGTTGAAAAAGTAATTTTACCAATATACCTGCTAACCCTAATCCTAAAGTTAACTAAATCTTGTATTACAATATCTATATAAGGAATTAGTTAATAGATTATTATACTAATACTTTATAAAGAAGCATATTTACTAGCATTAAAAATAAACTCTAAACTCTCTAAACCCTAACCTTAACTCTAACTCTAATGCTTATTAGCTCTATTGACTAATTGGCTTTTATTATAATCAGTATACAAGTCAATAGAGCTGTTTTGCATCTTTAACTTTCAAAGTTAAGCTTTGTGCAACAAAAATAAAAGACTTGCTATCCCAGTTAGCTCATTAGATTTGAATGTTACTAATAAAAACCTGGAAATCTAAAAACAGAACATGTATAAAATTCACAAAAACCTATTTTAGATATCCAGGTTTTCACTTAGTGACACTTATTTCAAAGTCAACACTGATTTTTAATCAGCTTTGAATTAAAAAAATTTTAATTTAAGATACAATATATTATTATTGATATATATATATGTATACTATTAACACTAATGTCAGGAAGGGTGTGGCGACCTAGTGAAGTGATCAGATTGTCAACCCCCCAAGTGGTAGGTTGGGTGTTCAAATCCTATCGACAACGAAAATTTGGATAATCACCTATATAATATTCGTATTATGGCAACTGTTACTAACGGTTGGGTTAGGATACCTGTAAT